CTTCTTCTTTTTCTTTCTTCTTCTTCTTTCTTCTCCTTCTTCTTCTTTCTTCTTCGCCGCCCAGCCGGTCGCCGCCGTACAATTGGAGCAGCCGCCGGCGTCGCCGCTCATCGCCGCCGCCAGTCGCTGCCCAGCGTCGCCCTTCCCCAGCCTCGCCGCAGCCAATCGTCGCTGCCCGGCGTAGCGCAAGCCAGAGTCGCCGCCGCCAGTCGCCTTCCCCAGCCGGTCGTCGCCGTCCAATTGGAGCCGCCGTCGCCTTCCCCAGCCTCGCCGCCATCATCGCCGATTGGTGCAGCGCCGCCGTGAGCCAGCCGCCGGTCATCGCCGTCCAACTAGAGCAGCCAGCCGCCGGTGTCGCCGCTCATCGCCGCCGTCGATTGCAGCGCCGCCGAGTTGCAGCGCCGCCGCTGCCTCGCCTTCGCCGAAATCGAGCGCCGTCGTCGCCCTTTGCACAGCGGCCATCCGCCGCCGTCGAGTGCAGCGCCGCCGTCGAGTGCAGCGCCGCCAGTCGCTGCTCATCGCCGTCGAGCTGCCGCTCCGCCACTGTCGCCGGCGTCCGTCACCGTCGCCGCATCCGGCCGCTGCCCCGAGTTGATATCGCCGGCAGATTAACCTCCACGCCGGATTGATTGGTCGATTTCGTACTTTGACTCGATTTGACCCGTTCGGTTGATTTCGTTGATTTGTCTTCTGTTCGAGCTATCGATTCGATTTCGACGTAATCCAGGTCTGTACTATGAAGTTAATAGCATTCAGAATAGATTTAATGGTTTGGATCGTTATATGTGTTTATGCTATAATTTGGCTTAATTGGTTAATTGAATTAAATTGATTGTTTGAATTGAATTGTTGAGGATTGTGAATTGACTGAACAGGTTTGACTTTGACTTGGGTTAGGTCCTGTTTGACTTGGACTTTGACTGGATATTCTGTTGACGTAGGTTTGACCGAATGGTTAAATCCAAAACTTTAATGAATTAGTTAAGTTAATTAATTAATTCTAATTGGTGATTAAGGTCAATTGGTTTATTGTGTTGAACATAGAAACTGGCCATCGCTCGGGCGGGTTGGGGTGTTACATGAAACAAGAGCACAAAATTCAAAATGTTATTGCAGTATGCACTTTGTACAATTTCATTTGTCTTCATCGAAAAGAAATATACCAGTTTCACTCAGACAACGAAAATCGGAAGATAGGCCTTAGGTGATGTTCTTTGATGACCAAACTAAAGATGCAATGAAGAAGTTCAGAGATAAAATAGCGTATAGTATTTGACAATGTAATTAAGTTTAATTGGAGATACTAAATATAGTTTTTACAATATGATTAAGTTAAAAATGATTGGATTAGTTATATTTATGTGTGCAATATTTTACATACAACAGACAATAAAAACTAGATCAAATAAATGAGCGTATTGATTTTTTGTTATTTGTATTTTAATTATTAGTTATATTCTTTATTACCTGAATTTGTTTTTTTTACACTTTTTGGGTCATTTTTTCTCCACCACTAACCATCCAACTCCCCACTTCCCCTTCTTCCTCTTGGTATGGACGGAAAACAGCAGTAGCTCAGTGAAGGAGGAAAGCCGACAGAGAAGAAGAGAATTAGGAGAAGAAGAGGAAGTCCGTACGTGAACGTTCGTGGGACGTGACTGCCATTTGTATCGTCTGCGTCAATCAACCATTTGTTCTAGAGGTGAGTGTGTTGCTCCTCTAGCTTTAGAATTCATAGTTATATCCAATATAGTTACATTCATAGGACTACTTGGCATAACCTACGTTGAATCAGTACGATCATAGTTTTCTCGTTTTAAAGATATTTGGTATGAAACTCGTTAAAAATCACCTAGAATTCCATTGTAATGAATAGCTACGACATATATAGATATATTTGTAACCTTCAATGTTCATTATAGTCTTCAAAAGGCTAGACGCAATTAGACGGACCAAAATAGAACCCAAGACTGCACTAGTCCGTGTCACGGTACACATGGCGGTATGGCATAGCATGGGCACAGACACACAGTAAGCGCTACCGTGCCTCCGGTACCCGATACCGTGATACATCAGGTACCTCCAAAACAAACTGACATCCTGCTGGAGAGCTACGGTACCCCTTGGCGGTATGCTCTACCGACCTCACGGTAGGTAGGGGTGTAAACGGATATTAATCGGATCAGATATGCCATTACAAAATCCGTATCCATTTATTTTTATCGGATATCGAATTCGGATACGGATCTTGACGGATATTGAAAATCAAAACCGCATCCGCATCCGTCGAATATCGGTCGGATATCGGATATATCCATATCCGTTTCAAATTCTTAAAATCAAATTAAACAATACTTTAATTTTAAATTTGATTAAAGTCAAACTATTATAAAATCAACTATAATTTGTTATGGGATATTTATTTTCTTTGTTTTCATGATTTATGATATTCTACGATAATTTCATATGACAAAAAGATATATACACAACACACATATACACATATTTTTACATGTTTGTACATATTTTTATGTGTCTACACATTTATTTTGTATATAAAAATGTTTTATATTTTGAAGTATCAATAAAGAAACAAAATATAAACATAAAAAATTATAAAAAACTATATATAACGGATCGGATATTCGGATAAACGGTTATTTAAACGGATGCATATTCAGATCGGATTTTAAACAGATCGGATATACAATTACCAAATCCTTATCCGTTTAGTAATTGGATATCCTTAATCGGATACGGATAATATCCGTTTAAAACGGATGCAGATATATCCTCTATAAACGGATACAGATACGGACGGTAATCGGATTTTCGGCTATCCGTTTACAGCCCTAACAGTAGGCTGTACCGTGGCAACGATGCCTAGCTATCGGTAGAATATACCATCATTCCCTTTTTGGTTTCTAAATCAATGCTATTCGAATTACTTTGTGAATGAATTTATCTTGGGCGATGTGTATATATTCATGGATCATTCCAAATGTTGTGTATGCATTCATTTCATCACGCATGTTGTAGACACATGATATAGGAACCACTCATATCATGGCATAACCGCTAAAATGGTCAGACCTAGTGCGCCTCTTATAGTGGGCCCATCCAGAAGCCTTCGGGTCCAACGGATTTCATTCGGAGGGCTTGTGTACGTACATGGTAACTACGTTTCGGTTACCACCCATAAATTCTAGTCTCGTCAGGAGACTAAGGTTTGCTCGAGTCGTCACCATTGTGGGATGATGTCGGAGCGCAGGGGGTCCTTGCATAGTGTAACCCATGCATCATACTTCATGTAGTCATTATAAAATTTCCTTACTTTTTGAGGGGCATGAAAGTGAGGAGATGTACGGATGGCCAACTGTGGATTCCTACATTTTTCCTTATTTAATATTTAAATCATTTTTGGGCTTGAACCCACTCTTGTTTCACTTAAATTATCTGGACTTGACATTAGGTTTTCTTTTGCTTCCGCAACTTTAACATTTTATCTACTCCGTACATTTTAGGGAATTAATCTCAAGGATTTTGTTTACATAAATTTGAATAAGGTCTTTATTTTAAAAGAGTTTTGTCAAAGTCTTTATTTGGATGGTCCTTAATACCATCTCTGTGACCTCTCCGGCCCGTCGGATCGCGGTGAACCGGGTTCACGAGTCGGAGGGTGTTACAATATCAGTCAGTGGTCTACCGAGAACCCAAGGGCCCTTCGGTTACCGTCATGCACAAACACGTAGTATAACAAAATCACAATTGGTTCAAATTACCTATCACACGATCATTATGCGAAATCGAGCCCAAGTGTTAACCTCAGACCCACTGCCCCACCGGAAGAGCCCTGTACCGCCACCAGAACAGACCTGGTCTCTGCTCAAATCAGCTCACTACCCAATCGGCCACCCAGCTGCTACCAACCTGCTACCATCTAGCAACAAGACCACTGGCCTGCTGATCAACTGTTGCATACAAAGTACTTTTTATCTAATTTTTATATTTTTTAGTAAAACTATATACTATCTATTTGATGTCTTTAAAGCAAAAATCTAAGACTTTGATGAGAAAATTTGGTTTTTTCTACTTATATACATGCATGTATACAATTTTTTATTTTTTATTTAAAAATAGCTAATTTTTACCAAATTACTTATAACAATCAGCCAACACATTCAGCCAATGAAACTAACTAAGTTCATCAGTCGTTAAAAGTAGCTATCATAAACAGCTAATAGTTGCCAAGTTCACAACATAGTCTAACATTATATTAGAGGTTTATCGATTGAGACATTATTTTGAAGTTTTTTATGTTTAAACTAAAAATGTTTTTAATTCATAAACATGGAAGGGAGATCTACACAATTTTAGTGCATACAACTAGACCTGGCAAAACATAATCAGAAGTCAGAATTGATTACCCGGGTCGAATGATCTGAAACTAAAACTAAAATGATCCGAAAAGTGAAGATTAGATTTATAACCGAATAACTAAAATGATCCGAACCGAACCAAAACTGAATTTAATTTATCTATACTCGATTAAAATCCGAAACCGATTAGATCGACCTACAAAATCCAAAATGGATTAGATCTGAAATCCATTAAATCCAAAATCGAAAAGACCCAAAATTGATAAGATTCAAAACCGATAAGATGTAAAACCGATAAGACCCAACACAAATAAGATCCGAAATCGATTATATCTGAAATTGATTCTGTCTTACAATACACATATTATATTTATGTACATTAGTGAATAATTACATTCATGTGATTTCAAAATTTTACTTTTACTTTACCATTTATGTTAGTTATATATACTTATATTAATTAATCCCTACGTTCCAAAAGGAATTATCATATCTAAACACAATGCAAAATTCCATATCTTTTAAATTTATTTTAATTATAAATTGGTATAAAAATGAAAAATATAACTTACCTAAAAATTTTTAGTTAAAACTTATAGAAACTAGATCACAACTAAAAATTTATTTTTTTCACCCCCTCAATACCATGTGGTTGGCCAAACACTTTGCCTTGAATTGTATTTAACTTCACCCAAAATTTACCTAATTGCATTCAATTTCACTCAATTTCAACATATTTTAACCAAATTGTATGTAGTTTAGTAATCTAATCATATTAATTTTATATCAGAACTAGGGGTGGGCACGGACTGGGACAGTTCGAGTTTTAGGTTGTCCCACGTCTCGTCCCGTTATATATAAACAGTCAAGAACGGTTCGGATTACAATCTTATCCAGGTTTGTTCCATAAAATTCGGGATCGGAATAAACCGGGACAGATTCGAGTCTTCCTACTTTGTCCTAATTGCAAATATAAGAAGGAACGGGTTTGGGACAAAAAATGTGTCCCAATAATATATCAGTACAATTACAAAACGGATCCGGAATTTTTCGGAACGGTCCAACGGGAACGGATTTCACGCCCACCCCTAATCAGAACTAAATATACTTTTCTTTCGTATTTCGTAATCCAAAATTTTAAAATATGACTAAAAGGATAAAAATGGAAGATATTTAAGTCGGAGGGAATATAATTGGAAAAAATATAAAATAATATGCGGTAAAGAATTGATGATAGATTGATAAATGCGATATTACAAAAAAATAAATGGACATTTAAATTTTAATTCGAAAATAACATATACGAAAATATATTCGAAATCGAAATATACCCAATGTGAAAGATACCCAAACCGATATATATCCGAACCAGAATGTGTCCAAAACTAAAATCGATCCGAACTGATGTCTGAACCTTACCTGAACTGACCCGAAACTGAACAAGAAAATGTATGGAACCGAATTAAATCCAAACTAAAATTAAACTGAATTGATTAGAACCGAATTGATTATTATCCCAAATCGGAACCGTTTGGATTGATCCAATTGCCATCTCTACAAACAACCATTTTTTCCCTTTGAAATGCATGAAAGGTGGGTGATGGTCAGTCAATAGATGATTGTTATATATCCGAGTTTCAAGCCCCATATGTATAAATACTGTGTAACATTTGATGGACTCCCCTCGTTCCTCGCTTCCTTGGCTCTATTTTAATCCTTCCTCTTTGTCTCTCTGTCTGAATTCATTTCTCCTCCCATTTCTCTCTCTCCCCCCGCCCTCTCTCTCTCTGCAACTATAAATTCTGTCTTGCATTCTCTCATATAGACGCCGGGGTTGTTGATCCAGATTGATCCAACGATCCGATCCTCAAGCTGTAAGTTACTCAAAACTATTCCTTTACTCTGCGCTAGGCTGTCTGTTAATGGTTCGTGATTTGGGCGAATTTTTCTTTTTTTCCGCGCAGATCTGTTACGAAGCTGTATCCTTTTGCTCGCATTGCCGCGTTTTTTTCCTAGATCTGGTACGCCCTTGTGTTTTGCCGCAGTTAATTGAGTTTGCATTTTTGTTCATATGCAGTGTTTGAATTTTTAATTGCTGGAATGGATCTATTTTGTAAAGATATTTTGGATGTGTTGCTATATTTTTAAAATTGCGTCCGTTCATGGAAATATGGAGTGATGAAGGAAAATAGAACCTCTGTGTTTTTTATGAGCGTTATTTATTACAAACCTGGATCTTTCTTGTTAACTTGTTGGTGCCAGGTTTTTGGTAAGAGAATTGCTCTTGTGGCCAATGTATTTTTTTGGTTCTTCACTTTGTAATCCAATGTCTGCCCTGGTCGCGCCATCTAAATGAACCTGTCTTCCGGTCATGATCCATGATTTGCAAATTGATTTCACAATATAAATTATGCAATGGGCTCACGGTTTTACTATTTCATCTCATTATTCACTCATATTCCTTCATAAGAATGTTTTTTCAGGATGCCAGTATGGCATAATTGCATAAAACGTTATTGTTTTTTCACTACTTTCTTTTGCATGAGCTAGGAGTTAAAATTTAGACAATTGATTGACACTGGAAATTTCACGAAGTGCTGATGGTGATGATTTTTTCCATGAATTTGTGTTTTGTAGTGTGTTGACTATATATTTGGATTATGTTTTCTGTGGCAGCAATTCGAAGATGACAACATACACCCCAAAGAACATTCTCATCACTGGGGCTGCTGGATTCATTGCATCTCATGTTGCAAATCGACTTGTCCGGAGTTATCCTGATTACAAGATTGTTGTTCTTGATAAGCTAGACTACTGTTCTAATCTTAAGAACCTTCTCCCCTCCCGCCCATCTTCTAACTTCAAGTTTGTTAAGGGGGACATTGCAAGTGCTGATCTTGTTAACTATCTCCTCATCACCGAGTCCATAGACACTATAATGCATTTCGCTGCTCAAACCCATGTTGACAACTCCTTCGGAAACAGCTTTGAGTTCACCAAGAACAACATTTATGGCACACATGTACTATTGGAGGCCTGCAAAGTTACTGGTCAGATCAGAAGGTTTATCCATGTCAGCACAGACGAGGTGTACGGGGAGACTGATGAGGATGCTGTGGTGGGAAATCATGAAGCATCACAACTCCTTCCTACGAACCCATATTCAGCAACAAAAGCAGGTGCTGAAATGCTTGTCATGGCTTATGGTAGGTCATATGGATTGCCTGTCATAACAACTCGGGGAAACAATGTGTATGGCCCCAACCAGTTCCCTGAAAAATTAATCCCTAAGTTCATACTCTTAGCCATGAAGGGAAAGACGCTTCCGATTCATGGAGATGGTTCTAATGTACGAAGCTATCTCTATTGTGAAGATGTTGCTGAGGCTTTTGAGGTTATCCTTCACAAGGGAGAGGTTGGTCATGTTTACAACATTGGAACAAAGAAGGAGAGGAGAGTGATCGATGTCGCTCAAGACATATGCAGGCTTTTTAATATGGATGCAGAAAAAAGCATTGAATTTGTAGAAAACAGGCCGTTTAATGACCAGAGATATTTCCTTGACGATGAGAAATTGAAAAATCTGGGTTGGTCAGAAAGGACACTGTGGGAAGAGGGTTTAAAGAAGACGATTGAATGGTATACCAATAACCCTGATTGGTGGGGGGATGTATCTGGTGCACTGCTTCCCCATCCTAGAATGCTAATGATGCCTGCCGGTATAGAAAAGAACTTTGAAGGGCCTGAGAAATACAACTCAAATGAGACGGAAATGGCACCACCTCCCACAAGCGGCAAACCAGCTTATAAGTTTTTGATTTATGGTAGAACTGGGTGGCTTGGCGGTCTACTTGGCAAGCTGTGTGAGAAACAGGGGATCCCTTATGAGTACGGTAGAGGCCGGTTGGAGTATCGTTCACAGCTATTGGCTGACATTCGATCTGTTAAGCCCACCCACGTGTTCAATGCTGCTGGGGTCACCGGTAGACCCAATGTTGACTGGTGTGAGAGTCATAAGACTGAAACAATCCGCACCAATGTTGTTGGTACACTGACTTTAGCAGATGTGTGCAGAGAGAATGGCCTGCTGATGATGAATTTTGCCACAGGTTGCATATTCGAATATGATGCTTCTCATCCAGAAGGTTCCGGGATTGGGTTTAAAGAAGAAGACACACCAAACTTTGCCGGTTCTTTTTATTCAAAGACCAAGGCCATGGTAGTAGCTTGTGATTTGCTTTTATGATGATTCTATCTGTACTATATAAGATCAAGTAATTATTATTGTTATTATTTTGTTTTTGTTCTGAACCAGGTTGAAGAGCTCCTAAAAGAGTACGAAAATGTTTGCACCCTCAGGGTTCGCATGCCAATATCTTCAGATCTGAACAACCCGCGCAATTTCATCACCAAGATTGCCCGTTATAACAAGGTTGTAAACATTCCCAACAGCATGACTGTCTTGGACGAGCTGCTTCCCATTTCCATCGAGATGGCGAAGCGCAACCTGAGAGGCATTTGGAATTTTACCAACCCCGGGGTTGTCAGCCACAATGAGATTCTGGAGATGTACAAGACCTACATGGATCCGGAATTCAAATGGGCCAACTTCACACTGGAAGAGCAGGCAAAGGTGATCATTGCAGCCCGGAGTAACAACGAGATGGATGCATCAAAGCTGAAGAGGGAGTTCCCTGAGTTGCTGTCAATAAAGGAGTCATTGATCAAGTATGTGTTTGAACCAAACAGAAAAACCCCTGCATCATAAGCATAAGTTCCCAGCATTGTTGAATTTAGTGGACAGCAGATTTCATTTTTATGTCCGCCCATCATCTCTTCACTTATTCTTTCTTAGCATAAATACGTTTTTTTTCTTTTTTCCTTTTTTATTGCTCTTCCTCGGTTCTCTTCTTAGAGAATTGGAATGTTCAGCAAACCTTGGAGACTTCGATGCTTTCTTTCTCCTTCAGTCACTGATATATGTAAGGGTTTTAAACTTCTTGAATGCAATTACACGAATGCATTACATCTATACATTCCGATGTTTTTTTTGAAGCCGAATCTGTCCTTTGTCATTCGAAGAAACAGATTCTGTTCACAATTCATCCTATATATGCATATACAACACAGCACACTACCCCACGTAAAGGGAGTGATCCCTATAAAGACATCATAGGGTCACTCCACTTTGTACACTAGAGTGAAATTCTCATTCTTCCCCATATCATTGCTGTATTGCATACCTGTGATGATACCCACAGAGCAACATTTCCAAATAAATTTGATATGCATCCAAAAGGTTAAGACATTTTTAGCAGAGGCAAAAATTTGATCATTATGGCATTTCACTATTATACCTTAGGAAGGGTAACTATCTCACACAATTATTATCCAAAAGGTTAAGACATTATTTTTACCACATGATGGCACAATGGAAACATAAAAACACAGCATATATGGCAATAATTAAGCTTCCACAAATTCGTCTTAATGTAATGGGCGTGGTTAAATTACATCCCTTTTGGCTAAATCCACAAAGTTATTACAAATAAACAATAGGCAAATTTTAAGGGTAAAATTGTACAAATAACATGAAAAGGGATGTGGATTTAACCCCGCGCTAAAAGTATGGTGAGGTGGAAGCCGATGCCGCAGCCAGGTCAGTTAGGAAGGTGACCACATCTTCAGAGGAGTTGATGAGATATCGAGCATTTGTATGAGTGCGACCAACAGCACAAGAGAAGTAATTCTCTTTGTTGAGATCCAACACATTCCATGCACCATTTATGGGCGGTGTATCATGGTGGTGGGGTGGCATCGACACTGGCTTTATTTTGGATCCTCTGACTCCCATGCCTTCACAAGGAAGTTCGGGCTCAAAAAAGGAATACACATCCTCATCCTGTGGACCAGATAACCTGTTTGATTAGTTGAAAGGACACAATGTTGCCAAGTAGGGAAGAAGATGAAGAAGAATTCCAATACCTTTCCTACAAAATGTCCCATGCACATCACATAATCAATGGGAGTGGTGATGGCTTCATTGTGAACGATCTCTCCCATTATACGATCAATCGCTGCTCCCTGTGACCCAAACCCAAACCAAACCACTCTCCATCAGTCAATGTTTGTGTGAAGAGGAATAGATCCAAGGGGAGTTGTCTGTTTTTCATATTAATTAGAAAAAATATGATGAATTGTCTTAAACTCTTTTTTTTAGATATGATTTTTTTTAGAAAGTGGACAACTGAATGCAGACGGAGGAAATATCTTTCTTCCTTTTTACCTTTGTAACACCAACTGCGCGAACCTCAACAGAATGGTGCCCTTGTACCACATACACAGAAGCATTAGAAATTGGGCCTGTCCTGAGATGCTGCAGCATATCTCTAGCTTGCAACCTCCCAAATTCAACATCTGAAATTCAAACCAAGAATGAAACATATAGAAGCAAGGTTAGGAAGGAAGCATGGAAAATGATTGGGCACAAAAAACAGATTAATAAAGATTCACTAGTTACCTGCATACTTGTAATTCCAAACAAGTGAAGTTTCGTGCATTTCGAAATAGGATCTAGGAGTCCTTTCGGTGAAATACTCAAATACATGCTGTAGAAATTAAATATACGTAATATCAGTGACTCAGCTTTCATTGATGAGAATGAGATAATGATCCACCACATGTTCATACCTTTACACTGTCAACCCAATCCATGTTTAGAAGTTCTGGCATTGTAGTCATCCATTCTCCGTTTGTAGATCGAAGAAACATCCCGTGTTCTGCTGCCAACCACATGTCATACTTACCAAAGTTCTGCAAAAAAAGGCAGTTTTTCAGATTTTTTTTAAGAATACCAGGAGATATTTTTGGATTTGGGGGAGCGGATAGAGAGAAAGCTTGTAGTACAGCATCTAAGTCACTTCGGTCACTTCCACTGAGGATAACAATTGTTGTCTTTGGATCCCTACACAATGCTTCTAGAGGTCCATTCAAACTGGGATGCAACTTAAGCTTCATATCATTATTTTGATCACGGCCTGTTCTTTCGGGGCTATCCACTATTTCTGTTAGCACACCATTGAAACCCTGCATGGTTTTTTAAAATTATAACTTAAAGTGGTTTTTGAGTACAAGTTTCTATAACAACCCTCAAGTCCTCAACAGGGAGCAAGAGAGAAAAACAGGACAAGGCTCTCATACCAATATGAGAAATCTGTTTTTGGACTGCAAGTAGCGGTCAATTGCATCACTGGAGTTTAGTTGTGGTGGGACTGCTTTTATACTTTGCTGAGCTTTAAAAACAGTGTCATTTAATTCACTGCAACAATCAACACGAAGAAGTGGAACATCAGTAAAATTAGCAGGGAAACAAACCTGCCCGTACTGGTTTTTTTTCTGTAAAAGAACAAAGTTGGTGCATCTCATAATCATTATCCTTTCCCTACCATAATGGTTTTGATCAGCTTGTTTCCAGGATTTTTTGGGTGACAGAAAATTAGGCAGTTGGTTGCTGTAGTTCATTCCATAGAGAAGGAAAAAGAATTAAAGTCATCTAGTTGTACAAACCTCACAAAAGTTTCAGCCCATTTTTGAGAAGTATGGGTGGTCACATGCATATAGTTATGCATGTAACGTTTTTCACGTTCTTCAGCTGACATTTCAATTGCTTGTTTGATAGAAGCAGCAACCTCTGCGACGTTCCATGGATTAACAAGGATTGCTCCAGCCCCCAGAGATTGGGCTGCACCTGCAAACTGCAAATATGCCCAGGAAGAATCCAAAAAAAAATTTACATAAGTTACTTGAAAAAAATTCATTGCTGTAGTTGTAGCTAGAATTTCTTCAAAGGACGTTCTATGCTTCAGAAAACATAAAATTCATACAAATTAAGAGAGCATGATGATTACTTCACTAAGAATAAGAACCCCCTTTTTTGATGCCTGGCATGCCACAAACTCATAGCTGACGAGATTCATTCCATCACGTAAAGATGTGATAAGTGCAACATCTGTCAGTAAGAAGAGTCCAAATTGAAACAGAAATGTCATCATGATGTTGATTACTAGATGCACTCAAGTCTTGATGTAGATTATCTTTGTAAAGAGAGCATTTAGAATTCATACCAGTAACAGCATAGAGTGCACATAAAACTTGAAAGTCAAGAGATCGATCCTGCAGATGCATGGAATATTAATTTTTTTAAAAATCAAATGGAATATCAGTTAGTAACCAAGTTGCAAACTTGAGGAGTTGAGGACTAAATTGTGGTTTTCAAAATTTAATTATTTATCTAATAATGAGTAAAACACAAAGGATTTCAACCAATCTTCACTGATACGGAACTGTCAACTTGCATGTATAGAATTTTCCAACACAAGCTAATCTAAAGAAGATAAATGGAAATCTAATAAATAATGAAACATATGGTATAAAGATGACAGAAAAAAACTAAATCATTAATATGTTCAGCCATGATTTAAGGACATAGATACTTGGTGACAGGCATATCCAACACAACTCATTAATACATGCAAAAGGTAGGGATCATAGTAAAGAAAAGAAGCAGTTTGACATCATGGCCTATGTACCAAGACAAAAAAAGAAGAAAGGAAAAGAGAGAACTAATGACATCAATCAAAGGTAAGATTACCATGGCATGTGGTAAAATCTGATGTGGGTCTACATGTTTGTAAAAATCTACTGTTGTCCCTAAGTTAAAGTCACAGTTTTCATCTTCAGTACCCCAAAGTTAAAGTCCCACTTCTCACAATTTTTTACAAGGAGAAGAATATGTGGCTAACAACATTATTCTCTTCTAAACAAATCCTAACTATCCTTTTTTTACTTTTCAGCACTTAAACTCTAGTCAATCAATGTTCAGGAATAGAGGGAGTATAATGCTTCAAGAATAGTACATATTCCTTGTATAGTTGTATTTTACTCTAAATATAAATGACCAAAGAAAAGACAAACCAAATGGTGAATGGGAACATCAGACATAGTTCCAAATCTCCCATTGATGCGTCCAACAACCTCATGGACCTGACTGGTCAATTTTTGGTCTGCAAAGATACAAGATTTTCCAAATGAGATCTAATAATTAGGGAATATATTAACATAGTATTCAACATACTTAAGGAGTAACAGGCAGGATTAATAGAATTTTACAGTGTGGGAAGAACAATTCTATGGGATCACCTAAGTATTACATCTAACCGATTTAAGGTTATATATAGGTCTTAATTCTGTAACCAATTTTTTGTTGTTGTTGTTTTTTGTTTGGTCAAGGTGGATTGTAAAAAATTGCCATAGGGGCAATGGTGGTAGCAAAATGAATTTTGTCAAAGGCTTGTACAAACTTGTAGGATACATTTTGAGAGAGAAACTGCTGAAGGAGAAAAGTACAAGTGGGTCAAGGAAAACATTTACATGGAAGAAGCCGGTGATGTTTGCAGCTTCTCCGGTTGGTAGAAGATGTGAACTTTCCGGATCGAGCGAGGTGAAGCCGGGCCAAATTTGATTATTTAATCAAGATGCACTTTATTACTTGTTAGGAAATAATTCCATATTCTAAAGAAAAAAATGGGAACAAGAACATGCACGTAAAAAAAGAACAAGACTCCTGAAACCATGCATTGGGCTATAAAGGATTCACTCCTTTTTCTTTTAGGTGAGTGTGTGGGCTATACACGTAGGAAAGAAGAGAAGAGTGAGAAAAAAGGGTTTCTACGCAAGAGATCAACGGGTTGTTTGAGTGTAGGGAGTAACTAGTATTTAGTTATTCAGAAAAATACATCCCGGCGGGCTTAGAGTGTGGAAAGGTTGGCTTATAAGCGTCTAGTATTTAGAGCTTGTAAATGAGGAGTGTTTTCTTATATTGTTTTAAAATAGTGAAGATGAAATTTTTCTCTCGAAATCTCTTCTTTTGTGTGTATTTATTTTTCACGTTTCTGATATTTTTTGGAGTTTTATGTGCTTAGAATCCAAGAACGCAGTTCCCTCAAAAGATGAAAATTCCAAACAAGATTATAGAGACGAAAGAATACATACATTCAGGAACATCTGTTCTTGAGGGCACAGCAATTTGCAGCAAAACCACTTTATCCCGCCAATATGGATTTTCCTCGAGAAACTTTTTAAATGCTAGTATCTTCAGGGGAATTCCTTTGATCATATCAAGTCTATCAACCCCTAATATAACCTGCAAGGAAATAAAAAAAATTTAAACAGTGAAAAGAAAATCACATGCAAGCTAGCGCATGTCTGCATGTGTGTGAGTCTGTGGGTGTGTTTGTGACAGTGTGAGTGAGTGAGATCATCCCATAAAAAGAAGGTGATAAAAAAATGGTAGTATAATGATGTCAATGAGGAAAAGATATCCAGAACTATGGAAAATTGGATTTAAATATTTTGAAAAAGAGTACACTGAATTTTGTGTTATTAAACACAAGTCATAGTAACAAACGTAGTTGGAAAAAAACTGCAAAATGTGTTTAATTTCTTGTCAATAGCTAAGAAATAGGTAAGATGAAAAAATCCCTAAATTGGGAGTATTATTTTAAATGACAGATGCAGCATCAGCCTAGCCTACACTAGTAAGGTTTAGATATGAACATCATGGAATATCTAGTAAGGTATGAGAACATAAATATATACCAGGTCAAGATTTTAAATACAAACCTGGTTGGTTCGTGAAACTAAATTCGAAAATAAATTTTCTTGACCTATAGAACGAAAAACATTTGGATTTGTGAAATAGAGTTCTTGAAATTCCATAAAGTTTCCAGAAGAGGAGAGCATACCTTTCTCCCTGCAAATTGCTGCAGCAAATCATTCATGTGTGTCTGCCCTTGGGGTGATTCAACTGCTCGAATGAAGCGGTTTGGGTCTATCCCAATCGGAAACTGAATACAAGGAAATGAAAAAAGTCATAACAGAAACTGTGAGTGAGGTCAAAATAAAAAGAAAACCAATTAAAAACACATCCATGGAAGCATTAGCTTTCCAGAACAATTCTTGTGTCAGTTAACTAGGACCAATGTAACTATAGCATACCGCAGCTACACGGGTAAGCCTCCCTTGATCCTCTACTCCTTCAGGTGTACCTTCAAGCCCAAGGATGCTAGTACAAGCACTAACGAAATGTCTTGCATAATCATAGGTATGAAATCTGGAAAAAATAATATAATAATAATAATAATAATAATAATAAGAACAACAACAGCAGTAATAATAATACCGGAGTAATAATAATATTAACAACAACAATAAAAGAAAACCCTTTGATCGTCACATTGTTCAAAAAGAGTAATCATATAAGATTTAAGAATTTTAAAGGTACAAAGATGTATGTATTGACATCCCAAAATAATAATGCATTGTGTAAAACATGAACATTGATATGGGCAACATTACTAAGAGATTGCAAGACATCCAATAACATATTGGTTGGACATACTATTACGTTATACAGCAGGAGCAACAACGACAACCCATTTGGATCCCACGAGAGTATATATGGTCTAGGGAGGGTGTGTTCTCGAATGTAGAGAGGCTGTTTCCAAGAGACCCTCGGCTCAAGCAGCACAGTTAATATAGGATCATATAAGAGAACACCAAGCATACAAAGCATACAACAAGTGCAAAAACTATAATCTAGCCTAAAGCACCTACCTAACTACCCTAATCCTAGGTTTCCAAATGCTCATATCTAAGGTCATATCAAGAGTAAGGGCAAAAAGTCTTCCGTCTCGTCTAATCACCTCCTTCCAATTCTTCTTAGAATCTTAGGTCTACCTCTCCCCTATTAAGATCTACAGCATAGTAGTGAAAATGATAAGACTATGTAGGAGAACATATGTTCCCATGGTCAAGTTTCCCCGTGAAAGTAACTAGGCGAGCATTTCATGTTGCCTACTGTAAGTTTCAATTCGATTAAAAACAAATCAATCTTCATTTCTTCAGTAACGCAGAACTTACCCAACCAAATCAGCAGCAAGAAGTGCACGCAGCAGTTCTGATCTAGAGGGCAGTGTCCTATGGATTTCTGAAGAAGGAAATGGTGTATGCAAAAACCAACCAACTTTCATTTTGCTGTTGTTCTTCTTTAAACATTCTGGGAGGAACATGAGATGGTAGTCATGACACCAAACAACATCACCATCTTTATAATGTTCATTCACTACATCAGCAAACATCTGATTTGCTCTTTTGAATGCATCAAACTGGGACTGGAAAGTCCTGGTTGTTGCAAGACGATCCTCTTGTGGAAGTCCAAGATAATGGAGATGTGGCCATAATATATCGTTGCAGTAACCATTGTAATGCAGATCAACAATCGCTTCATCCAGAAAAACAGGAACACACCTCTGATACGATGATTGATTGATTTGATAGCGTAAGATAAATGATTGTGGGAATTATTATACTAACTCTGTCCCAAATTAAGGTTTCACATTTGACCGAACATGATTATAAAGGAAGATCATGGCATTTAGTGGTTTAGAATTATGCAGAGAGAGAAACAATTTAAACCATATAATCATTTCTTTAAAAGGAAAATGGAACCTTATTTTGAGACACCAAAAAAATGTGGAACCTTTTTTAGCATGCATGGAGTAATTATTATAAAAATGACATTAGCAATTACCAAAAGCAAAACAGAATTCAAAAATGTGTAAATATGTGACAAATGAGACAAGGATAGTGCACCATTTCAGCCAGTGCTTTACTAAGTGACCTCTGCCCTTCCTCATCAGAGACACTCACACCAGCCCAACCAATCCATGTAGCATCAATACCTACCAAAAAGAAATATCTTCATCCCTGCTCATGGAGGTTTTGGATATTTTTGTCATAAAAAAGGAGATCATCACACAAAGACTACCAACCAAGAAGAGCAGTAACAAGACCGCCGGCACTAATCTTCAATGCCCAAGAACCATCATCTTTCCTCACTGCCGAGACTGGCAGCCTATTTGCCACAACCAAGAGTCGTTGCCTAATAGGATTCCCATGAGCAGCCTCTTCACTTATTATATTTTCACAGAGTCCAAGCGTTGCAGCCCTGCAGCATTTGGATTAAAGAAACAATATACATATTAGCACACTCTCATAAAACAGTCTGCTCAGCTGCTGGTCCTGGATATACTTATTTTAATATTAACACGAGGAAGTCTTAATTAGAGCAATAGTCTACGTCCCATCAGAAACAAGTTTAATTTTGCGAAAGAAGAATATGATGGGCACCAAGGAATCTAAAACTAGGAAAGATGGATGGACATAAAGAAAGAGATGAGCAAGAAGACAATGGGATCCATATGCATAATTCCGGCCATAAGCTGGAAGTTGGGGTCTACCACCAAAAGATTCTAAATTTCATATACAATCCCAACAGATTCCCAGGTCCCAGCCTCATTTCCAAAAGCAGGAGGAGACTCTTGGCAAAAAAAAAAAAAATTATTCATGGATAAAGAAACACGTACATGATAAAATTTTATATTCAACTGGGAAATTAAACAAACACGTTCTATGCAAAATTAATCCTACTGAGGAACTAAAAACTCTCCATTGATTATATACTTATGCACTTCAATTTGCAGAAATATTAAGTTTACCCAGGTAATCCTTTCTTTAATGAAGGACGCACGCGATAATTGAAATCGCCAATCGGGGATACTCAATAAGTGCATCGCATGCCTGATATGATCGAGTGATCCAGCAGCAGAAGCCCCTTTAAAAAATCAAGAAAATTAAATCCGTAAATAATATATGGTTCGTGGGAAGTATGTAATGCAAAGATTGCGGGTGGCAGTGAACCATGATGATGGTGATGATCATAGTGGAAGAGAAGGAGTGAAAGAGGGCGACTCATATCGATACCCATACTGGGGAACGACTACATCAAGCCATGCAGGCCAAAGCGTGAAACAAAATTTAATTTTCATGCAAAACAAATCCCAATCGGTACAAAATTGGCGGTTCAGGCACGGAGACCGCTGGCTGTACTAGAATCGTATGTACAGTATTTGTAAAGCTGTACCCAATTGTCCCTCATCCCCTCCATAATCACTCATTTGGATTTGATTTTTATTTACTTATTTTTTTTTAATTTTCTTGTCTATTTGAGTGGTTACGGAGGGGTGAGGGGTGAGGAGGTACACCCTTAGCATTTTCCATTTTTAAAAGTAATTGATTTTTTCCATCTCGAACCGAAATCTAACCGATATCAAACACGACGGAACCATGATACGAATATTTAAAACCGATTTTCACCGATCGAACCGTTCAAGCTATTTACGAAGTATCCCAAATACTTATTTATTCACTTCATCTTACCATATATGGAGTACTTCGTATTATATTATTTTTTCATATTCTTTCATTATTATTATTGTTATTATATTTATTACTACTATGAGCTTTATTTTTTTTGGAGTCATTACTAGTCCGATATTGTCCGAATTGAAAAAAAATTATTTTTTTAAGTTTCGACTCATTATCTTTTATTCTACTACCTCCGTTCCTTAAAACCCTTCCGCCCTAACTTTTTACGCACCTCATTAAACGCTTTTACTCCCACCTAAAATATGTAAAATATACCCCACTATGTAGTGGGAGAAAGACCAAACTAGGACTAAAACATTGAGAATATACCAAAATAGGACATCCATGTTTTTATTCCCGAAATAGGACTTACATTACCAAACATGGTCATATACATTACCAAAAAAGTATAGTAATTTGCACATGTACACTGCCACATTACCACAATGCAAAGTCACATTACCACAGTGCAAAGTCCTATTCCGGGGAAAAAAACAAGAAAGTCCTATTTTGGTACTTTTCTCTATGTTTTAGTCCTATTTAGGATGATTTCTACTATGTAGTTTATTGCGGGTAGAAGTTGTTTTAGGGGTATTTTAGATATTTTAGGTGGGATAGAAGTATTTTATGGGGTGCGCAAAAAATTAAAACCAAAGTGTTTTGTGGAATGGAGGGATACATGTTTATGTTCCTTTTAAATTCGAAATCAGGGTAAATTTCACGAGTGGTACCTGAACTTTAGCTGGAATTTCGAAGTGGTACCTAAACTTCAAATCCTTTCACAAAAATCTCTCAACTTACACAATCCTTTCACTAAAAGTCCATTAGCCCATTTCTAGGTCAATTGCCGGTTACCATCCGACGTGGATGCTGATTTGGATGCTGAATGACTTCCCTACCTCACTCTCTTTCCTCCTCACCTATTTCGTAGCATATAAATCGGCTCTTCACTCCCAAATCGCCACCCCTTTACCCGATAATTTCCAGAACCCTAATTTAGGAAATGTCCAGCAGCGTCTCAAGCAACAACAGCCATGGCCTGCAATTCGCGAGGTGTAGATGCGGAGAAAAGGCTGTAGTGAAGACAGCTTGGACTGAATCAAATCCTGGAAGGAGATTTCTGGGCTGTTCAAATTATGGGGTAGGTGTTATGAAATTTTCAATTATTTTGAGAGATTACTTCCATGGGTTGAGACACCCTTTTCAGGGTTTTTTTTAAATTTTGATCTTGTTATGCAGAGGCATAATTTTTGTAAGTATATGGAGTGGATAGATCCAGAAGTTCATCCACAGTATCGTGAGGTCATCAATGGTTTGCTCCGGAAGATTGACAATCTAGATACCAGGCAGTGTGACAAGAAGACTGTGAAAGGATCTACGAATAAGGGGTTGTGTGTACTTGCTCTGGCATTTGTAGTTTTGTTTATGTCTTTCTTGTGCAACACCAGTTGTTGTAAAGGGCATTAGAATATGTAGGTTTTGGGATGTGTTGTACTTTGCTTGGAAGAATTGTGATGTTTTCTCAGTCCTTGTACTTGTGTAACTTATGTGCTGGAGTATTTATGTACTACTATCATGTACTTTAATGACATATTTGCAGTGTTATTGATCCAAGTCAAGTGTTAATCCTTATTTTGTAAATGCATTGAAGCTGAAATTATATTCTTATGCATTACTGAAGTGTGCAAAAAAAATTACTCAAGAAATAAGGCATTGGTCCTGCATTTTTAAATATACAAAAGCCTTAAATATTAAGGCAAGACTATCCACAAAAAAACCTAATGGCATTTCTGCTGAGTTGTGCTAAACAACAAAAACCAAAATTGACAACACCAGCCATGAGTTTAGTTCAGAAAGCCATAAACATGCAAAAAAATTGTCAACACACATTACATCCTTCATGATTCACAAACAACAAAAAAAAGCACAGTTAACAAAACTAGCTTCCTAAATCTTCATTGGCAATAGAAGTGGCAGATGATTTTCTCTTCCTTGGTCCATTTGAGGCAGTTGCTTTCCTCTTTTTCCTCTCAGCATTTCTTGTACTTTCTTTGCCCCTTCTCCTGTACAAACAGAATACCAAAGTTTAGGTACCACTTTGAAATTGTATCCAAAGTTTAGGTACCAGTAATGATATTTACTCCTTACAAAGCAAGAAGTAAAGGTTACCTGCTGTGTTGAAGCTGTTGTATCCTTCTGCGCATGTGACCTTTTGTTATGCCCAATTTGCCACATACAGTGCACTTCATTTTGACATTTCCCTTCCTGCTTAACTTCACAGTACCACATGCTCTTGTTGTAGGTGCATCACAATGTGATTGAGGCTGCACATTTTCTTTATCATTTCCTCCCTCAACTTCTTCTGGTTGTTTCCTCCTTGCCCTCCGTTTTTCCTTCTTCTTAGGTGGGTCTGCTGGTGGGATGACATGAGGTCCATCTTCATCTTTGGGCCACATTTCCATCATGTTCACAGGGTTTATGTAGTGACTATATAGCTGTAGGTAGTTGGAAACTAAATACTACTTGTCTGTGTAAAGATCTGGGTCCTCATTGTTATCAAGAATGCAAGCAATGACATGTGAGCAAGGAATGCCTGTCAAATCACACCTTCTACAACTACAAGTCTGTGTAGCCAGATCAACCACATACTGTAACCCACCAGGACCTTCAACTTGATACTTAGAACCTCCAAAAAAGTTGGAATGAACAAGTGAGTTCAGTATTTTGTGCAACTTTGGCTCTAATCTTAGGGCATAAGGTATCCTTCCCATTGTCCATTATCTTCTTCTTAGTAGCCAACCTCTTCATGAGTTTAGTACAAATCATCTCCAGTATGATAAGAATGGGTTTGTATGCACAAAACACCATCTTTTTAGCTAGCCATGAAGAGGTGCAGTGATTGTTCTTGTGTATCTTTTTGCATTTATGCACAAAACACCCACTTTTTATTTGAAATGTGGGGTCAATTAGGTCCTTAGGGTGAGCTCTATATGCTAAGATTGAATACCCACATTCTTGAGCACACTTCACTTGAACCTTATCCTTGCAATTTTTGCAAAATTTAATCTGCCACCTTGATCTTATTCCATACTCCCTAACAGCTCTCCTAAACTCCTAAACATTCTTAAACAACATCCCCAATTTAAACTCACCCTTTCCCATCTCTCTTTTTGCATTAAAGGAAGGGTACCTCCTCTTCTCCCTCTGATCATTTTCCTCATCTGATTCTGTGAGTAATTCATCTGAGTCCGCGTAGTCAGAGAAATCACTTCGAACTTAAAACTGCAAATTTTGTGGTTCCCCACTGGAACTTGGATCTTGATTGTTCCTTGTCCTGCCACTCCTTCTTCCTTCATTTCTGAATGCCATAGGAGTTTCAGTATTTGCATCAAAGTCCTCATCCCCTACCTCTATAGAATATTCATCATCGTATAGATTATCATCATCATCATCCTCAATTGGAACTTGCTCTTTGGACACTTCCCTATGCATGTCTTCATTCTCAACTAAACCTTCATCTGCAGCTTCAAGTATAACTCTGTCACATGTGTCTTTTTCAGTCCCATCAGGGGTATCCCCTTCCTCAGCATCATTCCCCATATTATCTACAACAAAGTCCCAATTCTCATTTAACCTCATGTTGGCCATATCTTCCAAATTGACATCTAACTTTGCATTTCTCCACCCATTTAAAGAATCAAAGCCCCATTTCCCATTTACACCCCCATATGATGAAAAAGGCATATCAGAATTCAGGCTCTCAACAAATCCCCATTTCCCATTCTCAACATCATTCACAACTCCATCAGTGGAAAGTGGCACTTTAGATACATTCTCAACCATCTCTTCTACCCTTTCATTTATCCCCTCAACAATGTTTTCAGACCTCTGTTCCTGCTCCACCCCACATATAGCTAGCACACTTCCCAAAAAACATCCTTTGGCCCCCATTCTGTGAGAAGGTATTGATGTGTCATCCTCAAGTTCCTCTAAAACAAGCCTAGGTTTGGGAGCACTTTTAAGATTATTAACTATCTTCAATATTTCTTCTTTACCTATGTACTCGATGTATAAATGAACTGACCCGTAAATACTCCCAGCCCTTGACATTCTTGCAACATCCTTATTAAACTGTAGAGTGTTCAGACCCCCAAAAAAGGCTTTTACCCCTTAATTTCATTTCTAGCCAGCAACCTATCTAGGGTATTCATTGTCAATCTCCTGCCATTTATATCCCCTACCAGAAAGTGTATTTCGTTGTAATACGAACATTCTCCTAACACCCCACTATGATGCACAATTAAATCATACACCCCAATCACCTCACTTTGTGAATCCTCTTCACTCTCACTATTGCTTTCGCTACTCTCTTGGCTGAGAATGAAGGTATCTGAACTCGCTTCACTATCATCAGAATCCCTCATCGCTTTAATATCTCTACACCAAATTGAAATAACACAAAATAAATATCTCCGGATGATTCAAACATTCATCCTATTCAAAACCAAACACATGTAAATACCTCAAATGTTCGAAACTTCGCGTTTCTGCGTTGTCAGGTTCACCCTCGATCATCTTTCGTCTAATCCAAATTTCAAACCTAATCAGTGGAGTGGAGAAGAAGAGATTCAGATTGATAGCAAACCACCGTCGAGGATGAGCTTTTCCGCTGCAATTTGTGGCGCGTTGGTTTTTTACCGAAGAGACGATTCAAACCTTTGGTGTCAGATTCGTACCAGAGCAATTAATGAGGAAAGAGAGTGAGGTAGGGAATTGATTCGGCATCCAAATCAGCATCCACGTCGGATGGTAATCGGCAATTGATCTAGAAACGGGCTAATGGACTTTTAGTGAAAGGATTGTGTAAGTTGAGGGATTTTTGTGAAAGGATTTGAAGTTTAGGTACCACTTTGAAATTCCAGCTAAAGTTCAGGTACCACTGGTAAAATTTTACCTTCGAAATCAATACTTTAATTTCTTTTAAAAAAGTTGTATTTGTTGAATATAAGTAAGCCCTAGAGGCCAACTTATGATTCCATATCTATATTATATCAAGAACAATAGGCCCTAAAGATTTTTTAAGTAGTCTCGTGTGATTTAAACATAGCTTTAGTCCATAGAGTAGGCGCTCTAGTAACACAGATGAGAACTACGACGTTTTAATTATGAGGCTGCTACAAAGATAGAGGCTACGTCTAAAATATCCTTAGTCGAATATTATGACAATGCGGACATCATAATATATCAAGACTAATACGTATGAGATGAGATAGCTGCATCTCATAGGCTATAGATAAAGTGTTATCTGAATCTATACGTAGGCAACCATATTGGATATGTTGTTGGATTGACCCGCTATGAGAATAATATATGGGTTTGAGTTAAAGTGTTAATATTATTCTCATGCGACCATTAGTATAACTATCCTTTGACTTGAAGTCATTAGATTCTTTGGTAAGTTGAGTTGTATACTTTGAGGCATGATTTATGCCATCTGAAATATTGGTGGATGTATAGTTATGTTTTGGGTATGCAATGAAACTTAAGCGAAGATGTGAATGACGTAGATAGAATTTATCCCTTCTTTGATGAAGTATAATATCTTAGGGCCCACTGATTGATGTGACTTGGGAAGTGCATGGCCATGCCCAAATAAATATGTTATTTGAATCCCACAAGTCAATCGAAGAATCAGTAAACCATCGATTTAACTTTAACAAGGTGACACACCCCATACCTTGTGTTAAATCAAGATATTAGTGATAAAGGGATAAGGGTTATACAAATAGGATGTGTCGTTGAAGAAATTGTTCCAAGAGCTTTAATCTATAATTTGGGGGTGATAATGTGTTGCTAGATACCGCTTATCACTTGTAGTATTTAATCGATACTATGGCCAATTTTATATGCCTAGAATAGGGTCACACACAGAGAACATATGAAAGTGTAGAATATTTAAGTGGAGTAAAGTTACACTTTATTTATATATTGTGTATTTTATATTGTGTGACAATATGATTAGATACACAAACACATATATAAATAAATATTTATATTTGGACATTTTAATTATGTGATAATTAAGTTTGTCAAATATATTTAATAATAATAAAGTATATATATATTCGGATATATATATATATATATATATATATATGAATAATAAATTGTTTATTATTTTAGTATTATTATTAAGGCACGAAATATATATTTATATATATATTTAATATTTGGACATTTTAATTATATGATAATTAAGTTTGTCAAATATTATTTAAGGAACAAAATATAACATAATTATTATATATATATATATATATACATGTGCGTAAATATATATATGTATATACATGTGTGTGTTCGGCATATATATATGTGTGTGTGTGTGTGTGTGTGTTTCGTATATATATATATATATATATATATATATATATATATATATATATATATATATATATATATATATATATATATATCATAAATGTTATATTATTTATGTTGTGTTAATTATATGATAATTAAAGTTGACAAAATAAATTGGAAGCTTCCTTAAAGTGTCATTTGAAATTTCCTAAGTAAATAGGAATGAGATTTGATTTCGTTCCTAAACTCTAAAAGGTACATTCTTATTAGGAATAGGAATGGGGATTATACTCCTTATAAATAGGAGATCATCCCACCCCTTTTTATGACATAGAAATTTTGGCCCTACCATAGTTTAGGAGAGAAAGATTTGTTTTGTTCTCTTAATACTTTATACCAAATATTTTATATTTTAGAAATATTCTAGAGAAAAATTACTAGCATAATTTTCTCTAGAACACTCTTCGTTGTTCGTGTGTCTCAACTGGAGGTCATATACTTTTGTGGCTAGCTCTTGGATTAATCCATCAACCAACACATATCGTTGCTTGTTCGCCAAGAAAGGTATATTTCTAAACAATAACTTATAATAATCATAAGAGGTTCTGGGTGGATCTACGTTTGGACGTCAAAATTTTTATATTTCCGCTGCCCTATCTAAGCGTAGAACCCAATAGTGGTATCGGAGCCGACTTATGAGAATTATAAGTTTTGTAGATTTAATTGCCGTTAGGGTTTTTGATAATTGATAAAATAAAATATATGTGTATATATTTTCGAAAATTATCCAAAATTCAAGAAAGTACCAAAATGTGATTCTGGACTTTATAAAATTCGAAAATATGATTTTTGAATTAAATTTGGGATTTATTTCTATTTTCGGGTTAATCGGTTAAAAACTGTTTTAACCAATTAAAATATTTAGAAAATTCAAAAATTAATTTTTATTAAATATGAGACTTTAAAATATGATTTTAAGACCTATGGATATTTTAAAGTAATTTTCGGAATTGATTCCCTAATTTATAAAGTATTGGTTAATTTGTAGTTAATTTGATTAATTACAAGAGAAATACAAAATAAATTATGAAAAAAATTATTTTAATATTTCTGAGACTTTAAAATATGATTTTAAGAGCTCTGGAAATTTTAAATTAATTTTCTGAATTTAGTTTCTAATTTATAAGGTATTAGTTGATTTGTAGTTAATTTGAATAATTACAAGATAAATACAAAATAAATTATGAAAATAATTTTAATACTTCTGGAATGTTAAAATATGATTTTAAGTACTATGGAAAATTAAAATAAATTTTCGGTTTTGATTTTCTATTTTTCCCGATTTAAATAATCTTATTCGGTAATAATATAGATTAAACAGAAAAGGACAATTAGAATTCGGGATTATAACTTTATGAACTTGAGAATATGATTTTCCTAGTTCATAAAATATTTTAGAATTAAATTCGTAATTTAAATATTTAATTATTAATTTTTGGGAAAAACAGTTTTGGTAATTCGGTATGTAAATCCCGAAAATTAAATAATTAATTTTAAATTTTGGAAATTTAATATTTGGTAATAATGTCATAATATTCTCAGAATACTGATTTTTGGAACAATTATGGTACACGAAAAATAATTTTGGAAATTAATTTATGGATTTCCAAATAATAAATAGAAAGTACCGAAAATAAATTTAAGTAAAATCTGAATTTTTTTTCAGATTGTACATAAGTAAAAAACTTTATTTTTGGAATATTCTAAATTAATTTTGGAAATTAATTTAACTCCTTTTGGATATAAATTCCAAAATACCGAAAATAAAATTTAATTAATTCTGGAAATTTGATTTTCAGAACAATACGGACCCAAAAAAGTTTTTGGAAAATATTAAGTTTTAGAAATTCGGAATTAAGTTTTGCAAAATTGAAGTCTGATTTTGGGTATTTAAACATAGAATTTCGAAAATAAATTTTATAAATTCTAGAAATTTTATTTTAAGACTTATAAAATCAGAATACACATTCAGGAATTTATTTATTAATTTTGAAAAGGTATGAGTATTTATTTCGAATTAAAATCCCAATTTCAAAATTAATACCTATATTTACGGCAATTAACTATTTTAAAATTCAGGAAAATTCAAAATTAAATTTTGGATATTCTGGAGTTTTAAAATAAAGTTAAATAAAATTATTTGATAATTTGTAGGCTTGTAGTTTATTTTTCTTAGAATAAACTAGGTCTGGGGCGAGCACGGCTTGCCCGGTGTATGGTTTTTATGCATGTGATGTATGAATGTATGCTTAGTGCGTGGTTGTGGCTTACAATCATTGAGAAATGCATACTTATTTTTTCAAACGGTTTGACCATGAGTATGGTATTGTACCGTTCCATTTCAAAACGAAATGATACCGAATAGTTTTGTGGTTCAACCCGTAACAATATCCAACCGTTTAAATAAGAGCGGTCTATGATAGGGTTCAGTAGTATCACTGACCGTGCCCACCCCTAGCTGGCTGCGACGGGGGACATGGAACTAGGGTTGGACACGGTCCGGTTTCTAGTCGTTTTTGGCACCGCCACCCGCCACTCCCGTAACTGTGACCCACCACTGGAAGTACCATGCCGGTTCCTGAACTGGTGGATTCCAGCTCTGGCTCCGGCCGGTTTCTAATCA